TTGTCTTTTTATTAAAAAAAAAAAAAAATTAATGTATTTCCAGACCCCAGCACAGTGCCTGTCACAGAGGAAACCCTTAGTATTTACTGAATAATGAATGATAAATGAATAAATGAATGAAAGTGTTGAGTGAGCTACTGGTTAGGCAGACACTGGCAGTAATGAAGCCCTTTCCAACATGGAGGGGGGTGAGAAGACAAAACGAGTGATATCAGCCTCTAGGGAGAATGTATACAAAAAAAGAACAGAGTCATGAAAGACATTTTCAAATCCAAAGGGTGTCATGTGGAAGATTCTTTGAAAACCCCGACTTTGTGGTTCCAGTTGACAGAAATTATAGAGAAGTAGAATTTGTTTAAGTATTAGGAAGGTTTTTCTAATAATTAATAATTACTTTGGTTGGGAATTGTCCTGGCTGATCCTCTAAGACTTGTTAAACACTGTGTAAATGAGGAATCTCTGTCCAGGATGCACACAGGAAATCGCTGATCATGAAGTAAGTGGTCTTTCCAATTCCATCCAAACCCAATTCCCCAAGACTCCCCCAAGATCCCAGATCCACTAGGTAGGGAAGGAATAAGGGGAACTTCAGGTTTTAGACACTGAAATCTACTGCTCTTTGTACTTACTCCACCATCAGTCTCTCCTTTAATGAAAATAAGCACATGTTGCCCTACTGCACTGACATGCAGACTTCTGAATCGACTTTTGTCTTAGAAAATTTCATTCTTCTAGCACAGGCGAGGATTTACAAAAGTATATTGTTGTTGTTGTTGTTGCTGAGTGCATCAAGTCAGTTCCGACTCATAGCGACCTTGTATACGGTTTCTGAGAAGTGGCTGATGTGTTTGAATTGCCAACCTTGTGGTTAGCAGTTCAGTGTTTATCCTACAGCACCACACAAGGACCCCACAAAAAATGAGAACCAGTTAAAATAAAAAGTCCTAACCCTTTCAGGAGAAGGAAAGCAAGCTCACCTCGACCTCCGCAGCAGATGGCCAAGTTGGGGGTCTGGCTCTGGGGGCTTCTCCTGCGGCTGGCCAGTCATGCTGTTCTCATGCTGCTGGACAGGTGGGAAGAGGAGACCTGGTTCTGTGTAGGAAGGAGAAGGAAAAGGTCACTTCATCATTGCCTGCTCCCGGCTCTCCATCACCTACCTGCACTAGACACTACCTAGAACCCAGGGAGATACGTAAGGCTGACCTCACCCACTCATATAACTGTGAAACAGGCAGACATGTAGTCAACAAATGTTTCCCCAACTCGACAACATGCCAGGCATGGCAGTGAGGAAAGAGGCTACAAGGCAGAATTAGACACAGCCCCATACTCTACAGGAGGACAGAGAGATGTGCACGGGTTTCATTACAATAGAATTTGGTAAGTATCATGATTCCCCAAATTCATTCAACAGCCTACCTGTCCCACAGGGGAGCTGGGCCAGTGCACAGTGGCTCAGACTATTTGTGATCTGTTTCTTGGTGATTTTTTTTTTTCCTTTAAACTTTTAATCCATTACAGATGAATACTTTTATAAAATTTAATAAAAATGAACTACTAGAAAAATGAAATGAAAAATATTCATACAAAATACAAGCCTACTTATTATTTGATTCAACAGATAGGTCTGTCAAATCAATATGAAAATTTCTAAATGCTAACTCTTAATTACTATATCGATCTTGTGGACCACACACACACAGTTTGTGGACCAACATCATTTTCACGACTGTACTGAGAGTTATTGTTGTGTGTTGTCTAGTTAATTCCAACTCACAGAGACTCTATGGAGTAGATCTTCCCACGTTGGGTTTTCCAGGCTGTAATCTTGATAGGAGCAGATCGCCAGGACTACTCTCTCACAGAGTTGTTGGGTGAGTTCGAACTGATAACCTTTCAGTTAGCAGTCAAACACTGGCCACCACTGTGTCACTGGGACCAGCATTGCTATATAGAGGTTTATACAGAGTCAGCACTCCTAATATGCCTGGATAATTGGTCTCTTGGTTCAGAGAGGGTGGTTAAAAATGAAAATGATTTCAAATTTACTCTCCAAACTACAAAAGGTTCTCCAGGAAGAACAATGGCAGGAACTTTGGGCAAGGATGGCTTTACGTTTATCTGGAGAGAGGTGGTGGCGTCACCTTTGGTGTGCGTGAGGCTCACCAAACCTGGTCTAACGCTGTGCCAGGAGCTGTATCTGGTTCTACCTTGAACTCCCCAACCCTAACTATGGCAACCCCAGACAAGGCTACCTCCCTGAATAATGAGAACAAAGAATCATCTATTAAAATCAACTGGAACATTTTAGAAAATAAATCATTCTCAAAATGTCAAGAGGGCTGCTGGTGTTCATTCCTACTATTTAATGCTATAAAAATCTTTTTTTTTTTTCCAATAAAAATTGAGAAATCCTTTGTCTGTGACAGTCAGCTCCAAAAAAGCCTTTCAATGCCTACTGCTTTAATACTTGAGGGAGAGATTACAAGTCATTTTCACCCATTTGAATGTTTAAGAGAAAGCATTCACTCCTCTAAACGCTCAGCTTTTAAGTAGTCTTTATTTTAAACTTTAGAAGATAACTCTGCAGAAGAAAAACTTCCTTTTTCAAAGGCTTGGCTGCTTTTCTGCCCTCCCCCCCTCCCCCAAATTTAAACACGAATACATGCATTCCCAACTTCAAACGCTAAATCATGTGCAATTTGGGAGTTTGTTGCTCATGAAATTCTAGCGATAAGCACATCATAAACATTCCTATAGCAACAGAATGTTTTTGAAGCACCGTCTGCAATGTTACAAAGATTGTATATCATTATCTCTGAATGCTGGCGAAGAGAAGGTTATGGGGAATAACTGTTTATGTACAAATAAGTCAATAGAGTAACTGGCAACCTGAATAGCAGAGCCTGCTGACAGGGAAGTAGGAAGTGTTCCTTCTGTTTGCATGCATAACTGTGCTGCCCATACCCTCAGCATAGCCATGGTTGCCTCTTGGGCAAGTCATACTCAGACAATCACACAGCTGTTGTGAGCTGTCATCAAGTTGGCTCCCAATTCCTGGGGACCCCATGCACAATGAGGCTGGACTGCTGTAACCCATAGAATTTCCAATGGCTGATTTTTCGAAGGAAGTCATCAGATCTTTTTTCTTAGTCTTTCTTCCATCTTAGTCTGGAAGTTCTACTGAAACTTGTTCAGCACCATAGCAACACACAAGCCTCCACTGACAGGTGGGTGGTGACTGCGTTTGGGGTTCAATGGCTGGAAGTTCAATTTAGGTGTCCCTGCAGGAGAAGTGAGGATTCTACCACTGAATCGCAGACTTAAAATTTTATTGGTCATCTATTATATGTCAGACACTGGGCTAAACTTTAGGGTTGCTCTTCTTCAAAGAGGTCCAAAAGAGATATGTTGTTGTTAAGTGCCTTCAAGTTAGTTCTGACTCATAGAGACCCTGTATAGGGTTTCCAAGGAGTGACTAGTGAGCTTGAACCACAAACCTTGTGGTTCAAACAGCTTTGCAGTCTGGTGCATTAACCCACAAGAGAGATATAGCAACAGGTAATTACAATTTCTCTTCCCTGTTAAGAAGGGACTATTATTAATAATTTCTATCAGGACTATGAGTGTTGCAAATGTAAAGGTAGACGTTTTTGTAACAAAAGGAGGGTAGTGGTTATTTTTGCAGTCCAGGAGTGGAGGACCCTAGGACCATTGAGGGAGAAGAGTGGAGTGCGGGACCCTATCCAGAGAAGCAGTGATACCAGAGATGGAGGCAGAGACGATGACACAGAGAGATGGAGTGGCTGGGGACTCTAGACTCAGGGAGTGAAATGACTGTGTGCTGATGGCTGAGAGGTGGGCTGATGGTTGTTTGGTTGTTTGATGATGCACGGAGGAGATTATAATCATTGCAATGAAACGAAATACGATAGGATGAATATAAAGCTGACATTCTCCCATGTAAATTATCACTCAATTTACAATAAAAACTTAATAATAAAAAAAGGGACTATCAGTTTGAGTTGAGGGAAAGGAAATTAGATAAACTAACTAGACCCATCCATGCACCCGTCCAATGCTGACTGTATACTTGTATATACCCAGCAAACAAAAGGCACTAGACATTCAACAGTTTGGTGACACCAGTGTGGTCCCTGCCCTCAAGGAGCTTATAGGCTAGTGGAGGAAACCAACATTAAAAAACACCCAGAAGTGACAATGATAATGATTTGCTCTGAAGAAGTATGGTTATTGCTATACTGGCTTGTGATTGGTAGATCTAGCATGGAAGAAGTCAGTGGTAGTTTCCCTCAGAAATCCATCTTCAATCTGAGGAGGAAGACTAAACCGGTGAAGCCCAGTAGGGAGGGCAGAAGGGAAAGGATAGGAAGATGGTGTTGCAGGCACAAAGGACAGCCTATGCAAAGGTTTTGCTGCAAGAAGGAGCATGTGGCAAAAAGAGCACAGAGAGCAATCAATTCAATCAGAAATCTCAGGTGGGTCCTATGTCGACCAAATAGATGCTTGACCTAAGACTGTGCTCCACTATGGTAGTCAAAGCAATCATTAAAGACATGTTTTTTTTTGTTTTTAAAGCACAAGAAGTTACCTAGAACACCTAAGACACTTAATATGCATAGCTTAAATTCTCCCTTTTCCTAAGCTAGCATGAGACATCAAATTGAGGCCACTTTGCCCTCCCTCCTGATTTATAACAAGTTTAGAACTCTTACCTACTTTTCCTGAAGCAATAGTAACTTGGTTAAATTTAGCTTGGCTGGTGGTAATATAACTTGGTAGATTCTGAGGTAAGGCAGACAATGAGTGTGGGTTTGGGGACATGGACGAGCTTTGTATTATTAAAATTATTACTGGAGAGCCCTCCTAAGGCAGGTTGCGTTAAGGAGGGGCATATAATGTCATGCTTCGGAGAATATGAGCTTTGGAGACAAGCAGGCCTGTGTTCAAATGTGGCCACCCAAACCTCACTAGTCAGCGCTAGCAGTGTCCTCTTTGCAGGTGTCGTGGAAATCAGTGAGAAGACAGGTGAGTACACTGCCTTCATCCCAGGCCCTGATACATAGGAGCCACTCTATCACTATGCCCCTCCCTTAACAGGAATCCATGAAAATGTTTCCCAGATGGTATAGGGGCTGCAGGCCAGCTTTGCCAAGACTTGGGAGGTCAGTCCTTACTCCCACACAACCCTTGTGCTGGGGGATGGCAGTAGGAAGTCCCACTCCTTACCAGAACCAAACCAGTTGACAACTGATTCAAAGTGGGCCTACAGTGCAGAGTAGAACAGCCTTGTAGGGTTTCTAAGACTACGACTCTCTGGAAGTGCTTGCCACATCACCACGTCATTCTCCCTCAGAGAGGCTGGTGGGCTTGAACCGCCAACCTTTCAGTTATCAGTCAAGTGCTTTTAACAACTGCACCACCAGGGCTCCCTTACAGGGGAGGGAATCTTACTGATGCCATCTCACGTCACCAATGAGAACAGTCTTGGAAGATTGTGAGATATTCTAAGAACCCACAGCTAGTGAGAATCCAGCCATGGCCAGAACCTGTGCTTCAGGAAGTTCTTCCCGGTTCCCAGCGCTGCTCTCTGGAACTCCTTTTCCCTTCTACACAATGGAGGTAACAAATGCTGCCTTTCATCACACTATTTTTAGAGTGAAGGGAGAAATGCAGGTTTAAGAGTCTTGAAAAACAGAAACAAGCACTTTATGTGGGTCTGTATGAGAAGATGGAAGGTTCTTCTCAGCCACAAGGCAAATGAAATGAAAAGAAAATTGAACATCACACTGGGTTGGGGCAGAGAGCCAGTCAGAGGGAAGACAGGGATCCAGGATATAAACTATGGGTGTCTGAAACAGAAAGCAGCAGGACCAAATGAAGTGTGAGGAATTCCCTTCATGCCACCCACATAAATTAAAAACCGGCACAGATTTTAAAAAGGACAAGGTGAAGGGGGAGGAGAAGGGAAATAAAGGAGAGAAGGAGGAGTCATTAACTTTGGAACAGAATCTACAGAGCATCTGAAACAGTGCAAAGTCTTATAACAATCCAATGAGAATCCTGAGACT